ATTTGGGATTTTTCTGCCAAAAGATTATTTTCTGGCGATGAAATAAGAAAGCAGTGTGTGGCGCTGGAAAATGATCTTTTTGGGCTTAATTGCGAGTTTTGGAGCCCAAGATGACATCTGATGGGTTTGTGGCCTTATGGAGAAGTGTTCAGAATATTTCAAGCTTTAAATCCAGCTATTTTGGGCCTATTTTGGTGAAGGGAAATCTATGAGTTTCTTGTGGGATTTCTAGATGACTATCATGCATATACAATTCAAAAACATATATACATGAGCAACGGAAGCATGTTATCAAATAAAATCAAAGCTATAGTCATGTAAATCCCCTTCAAGGTTCATAGGTTTATATATAATGCATCAAAATATTTTAATGAATCAAGAACAAAGTCAAGGAATAGATCTATACCTCTTGATCTTGATTTTAGACCAAGGATGGACCACCTCCAAGCTCTTTGCTCCTTGAAATCCTTGAGCCTAGCTTCCCTCCTTGCCTCCTCCACTTTGAAAGAATGAGTGCTCCTAGGTTCTCTTCAAGTTTCCAAAGTAGGAAACCTCTAAAGATCCTCACCCCACTAGTGTAGTGTGAGAAGGATGAAGGAATAACCAAAAGGGTGAAAGATTGTTAGCTATTTCATCCCCTAGGTGGCCGGCCCTTTGTTGTGGTTTTGAGAGATATTCTTTTGCCTATTTGTTGTTCTAAACACACAAAAAACCCTCATGAAACATTTGCTATAAAGTTCCTTTTATAGCCAAAAGAAAACAAGTCAACATTTGACCTCTCTCTCTCTCTCTATACCTAATGTGGCCGGCCCTCTTTGTGTTGTTTGGGCTTTGGGCTTTCATTTATTTCAAGTCATCCAATGCTTGAATAAAAGCCCAATGGGTTTAGGCCCAATGGGCCCAATTAAACCCGAACGTTTCTTTAAGCCCAAAACGATCTTTATCGCTTTTATGATTTCTTTAGACTTTTCTAAATTAATCACAACACATAATTAATCCAATTAATTGTTTCCATCATCCATTAATTACTCACTACAATAGTGTATTGGTGAACAATCTTTTAGGTTCTAATTAGCAAGGCAGTGAGGTGATTGACACTAATCCAATTAATTCAATCACTTAGTGAATTGAAACTTCATTTCAATTCACCATTCTTCTTTGATGACTACATTTAATCATCTAGAAGAACTCACAAGCTATGATTGACATCTAACCATATGTCATAGCTACCCAAGCTAATGTAGAAGTTTATTCAGAGAACCTATTCAGTTAGAATTACAATGTAATTCGATCTTTCTCTAATACAATACTCTCAATCACATCATTAGGGTATGGATATATTATGTCAAACCCCTAATGTGATTATTCCTTCTTATATGATTCATTTGAGTCGTATAGGAACGCATTCCTTTTAATACGCTCGATACTTCGGCCGAAGATTCCCGAATCATATCTTAGAGCATTCTTCCTCTCTTATCGAGGATTAGAGATTCCTTGTTGCGCATACACTTGCCTTCATGACTAAGTGGCTTAACCCCAATCATGCCATGGACACCCTCGAATGGGGAGACTTTGACATAATCAAAGATTAAGTACTTAGCCACAAGACAACGACGATGCCTCAGGTCTAAGGACTACTTACATTATTCCAACCATTAGAGTTACTTGCTTGACATGTGAGTAAACCTCCATGCAAGTACTCTCGTTCGATTGTGTTCAGTGAACTCATTCCCCTAATGAGCACCTACATACTTGTCTTGGTGTCACAACACGAATGGGATGAGACTTTCCATCCTTCCATTTGAAGCAGACACAGTATGTACCAGTCTACGTATTGTCAGTATCCCTCCGACAATCCAATGACTAGGAACCTTTTGGACATTTGGTTATATGAAGAAGGTCTCTGTAATCTAACATCATTAGATTACTTCTTTTAGTCAAACTATTGTCCATGGATACACTATTTAGGACATATATCGTTCTTTGAGATAGTCCTAATTCGTGTTTTTGCCTTTGATGTATAAGATTCATCCATACATCCATTCATTTGTCCTGAAAGATCTCTTCCAAAGATTGACTTTCAGGGCATATTTCCAACATTTGGAGTAGATATGGGTCCAAATATGACTGATTTGTGGCTGGACAGATTTGCCATATTTGATTAGGATTATGTTTCCTAGTTTCTTTGAAGTTATTATGTTTTCTAGTTTTTAGAAGACTTTTTCTAGTAAGGATTTTAATTGTGTAGTAGTATAAATAAAGCTTTTTAGCCATTTGGAGGGGAGAACACACACACTACTTTGGAGAACTTTGCTAGGCTTAGAGAGCTTTTGACGATTCAAGTTTATTTTCAAAGTGTTTTCTATCCATGTTTTTTATAATATTTTGTTTTATGATTGTTCGTAACTAATTCCTTTTGCTAGGGCGAGGCCACGAGCCTTAGTAAGAATATGTAGTTTCTTTTTAATTTACTTATGATATTATGCATGCAAGTTTTGAATTATTAATCATCATGTTTAAACTATCTATTTGTCTTAATGTCTGATCACTATTAGGATGTTTAGAAAAGTAATTTGATGTAATTTTGGTAGGAGGTTGGTCCCTGAAATTGACAAAAGCTTCTTGTGATTAATATGTGCAAGTTCACTTAAGATGAATACCACATCTTAAGGGTTGCATGATTTTTCGAAAGGTTTCACAAAACTTAATGAGTCATGCTTGTTTAGATTTGATCTAAATACTACAAACGGGTATGTTTAATATACGCTCTATGTTGAGGGTCCAAGTAGGCATACTTTAGGAAAACCTAACCTTCAAAATATGCATGTGTAATTCATAAGTAATTGGAAGAACTATATAGGATTGTTAAGGTGACGGCGGAACCCTAGTGCTTTCACAATTTATTTTCAAAAACTGTTTTCTTTTAGTTTATTTTATTTTGCCGATTTATTTAATTATTTTTATTAAATTTGTTTTTATTATTTTAAATATCAAAATCAACCTTTTCCCAAACCTTGTTTTAAGTAATTAATTAAGATTTGATTTTACACAATTTATTCATTCAATCCTTGTGGAGAACGACCTTACTAGAGTTGTTATATTACAATTACCTTGTATTCTTGCAAGCATTTTAGGTGTTTTTATCCCTACTTTTGAGATAAACGCTTATGAGTACGTAAAATGCATTGTTTTCTTGTTATCTTTGAAGTAATTTGTAAACCAAATGATGTGGTTGTTGATAATTAGATTGTTACTTAAGTGTTAATTAACGTGCTTATTTCATATTGGTGACACGTCATTTAATTTGTAAATTTAATTTAAAATTTTATCTCCCTAGCATTATCCTCTTTTTATTATTTGCTTCAAACAAACTAATTGTGACATGCGTGATGCATCATGGTTTTTCCAGGAAGCAGCTGCTAGCCTGCTAGGTCATGAGTGATGATGTAATCTCTCTTATATACTAGTCAATAATTTCCATGCAAAAAGTGAAAACCATACCAGCCCCCATGATGTACCAGTCCCAGAGAGAAAGAGAAGCATCTTGTTCATATATATGAAGAGTTAACGTTAGGGCAGATGGATGGAATGAGTCATATACTGATATGGGTGGCGTGAAGGAATTGAAAAGTAGACAAGAATACACGAGAGAGAGAGAGTGCCTTCTCTTCCCTCCCACTTGCTTACCAACTTGCAAATCAGATAAGATGTATATAGTCAATCAGTCTCCCTTCAAACATATATTCAAAACTTCACCATTCACATTTCTGCCACAGATACCGATCGATCGACCCACACCCCGCCAACTTGCATTTCTTTAAACGAAAAGAATGACCATTAGAGAGAGAGAGAGAGAGAGCAAGTTGCAACAACTTCATAGTTTGCTTTGCAAGTATCCTTCCTTTTCTTCTCTTTTCTTTGGAAGAACAGCTAGCTGATAGCAACTGTTTGAGTTATCAAAAAGAGCAAGTTGCAAGGGAAGAGGCAGCTAAGCTATTTGATTCCCGTCAAGTTGTTCACCATTTTTCAATGTAAATATATATTCTCCCAACAGTCCAACCTCTGCATATACATACTCTCGATTGTCGATACCATCCATACAATACGACAATATATGCTTTCATATTCTCTTCTTTATTTACTTTGTTTTTCTAGGTTTTGTAAGAAACGTTTATCTCTATGTCATTTTCTACTTGATCGTGATTAGCGGAGGACAAATGAAACAATTGAGAGAGAAAAATCTCTTGAAGGTAGTTAGCCGGCTTCATTTTCAATATAATATTCTTCACTTTTATCTCTCTGTCATTTTGTTCAAAATTAAAAACTTATTAGTAGTTCAAGATAGGAAATAATTTCTGCACCTCGATCTATCTTCTCCTTTTACACACCATTTGATTTATTGGAATCAAATGCTAAAAATAAACATGAGTATGCAAGAAAATAAGAAGATGAGTGCATGAAAATCAGTTTCATTATCTCTAATTTTGTTTCCGATTTCTTAGTATTTGAATCTTGAAAATGGTAACGTTTTGCTCTATATTTGGTGCCCATACTGTTTTTCAATGTAGTAAAATACATACAATATATTAGCTGTATTTTATGGTTTTTATACATTAGCTGTATTTTTTGGACCTAAAATGTCAAAGCTGTATTGTTTATTCAAACAAGGCTAGCTAGGTTCATTTCTGTGTCCACATTGGCGATCAAACGTGCGACAGAAAGCTAACAGCATGTTTAGAACATTATTATACTACTTCATCACAAACCCTAATTATTAATCAGCACTGTAATTAATTTATTTTTTTGTGAATCAAAAATCTGGAAATATGGTTCGATGCATCAAGTGTCACAACACAATTAGTTGAATTTTTTTTTTCATGTTTCTAACCAATTGTATTAAACTTGGTGTACTAGACCGTATTCCCAATACACTAATTAATCTCTCCGAGCAAATCATATAGGATGCAACGGGAGAAGTGATTTTCTCACTCCCTATATAATAAATAAAATATCAATCTGATTAACAACTTAATCTACATCGTATATGTTTAACTAATACAATACCATCTACATTGCATGTTACCTAAACCAAAACCCTAATAGACGCGCAACTCATTACTGCGCATTAAACGACAAAGTTAATATTTCATGAACTTAAGAGTTTCTAACGATAACATAGATTGATAGCAGCGCATGACAATGAGAATTAACTTAATTACAAAATATAATACACAAAAGAATTTACACAAACTACACTCTTACTCTTAACTTAATTATGCCAGTGCTGTGAAATGCTCGCTGAGACGCCGGACGAATAATTTTGTTGTTGAGAAGCCTAGCCAAGTAGGCCACTGCCTCAGTAGTCAGCAGCACTGCCATTACCATACCCATATTAATGAAAAAAAGTTCAATATTATCCAAAATATTAGGCAGCAGCATGGCTTCTGCTCTTTTTTCAGATCATGTCTTCTTGCATGCCATTATAAATTGGACAAGGATTGTCTGCCTTTCCATTTTTGATGTTCTTTCGTGTCCTCCTGTTTTATATGATCACGGTTAAATTACGTTAATATTTTATATTATTTTTTTATAGAGATAATAACATAAAAATGAATAGTAATATAAAACGTTGGCGTGATTTAACCGTAATCACACAAATAGAAAAACATGAGAGAGCACTGAAAATGGAAAGGCAGACCATCATTGTCCTTATAAATTTCTCTCATATTCCAATTAGACGAACAAAACCATAAAATAATCGAGGACATATTAATTAAATATAGACGATACAGTAATGATCGAATATTGACCACATATCGACTAGATATCAACACATACTGAAATTTATCTTTTCAGCCATTGAAATTTGAAAAGTGATTATTTAGGCCAATTTTTCCAAAATTAGTTTATATCACACACGGTAATAGCACTGATTAAAGCCTTAAACCTTGAACTACTGAAGCTATTTCATCGGATTAAAATCACAAATCGATGGCGGAAACGCCAGAAAAAAAGGACAAACACAGATGACTAGCTCATAACCTCGATCATAGACATTCGATCACGATGATTTGACGAGCCTAATAAATCCATGTAAGCAGAAAAGAAGGAGGATCTAATTAATTAGCTAAGTAGCCAAAGTATGATTAATTAATTTTAATTAAATGATTACTATCATCATTACTTGCGTCTTGCTAGCTATATCCTCGGCGATCTGAGCGAGTGACTGCAGGTTGCAACGAACAATGGTGTCCACGAAAATACACGTGTCATCCCTTGTGTTCCCGTGCGGCACGTCCACCACGTACGACTCCACCACCACCGTTCCGCCGCCTGCGCGCGACGACGGGTGCAGCGTCGTCACCGACCTGTAGTTCGACAGCCGATGGTCCCCGCCAACCATGCTGAAGCTGATGACGTGGCTCTCGTCGTCAAGAATCTCCAGCCTCTCCGTGCTGTTGTTCGCAGGCAGCCCCGATATCACCTGCACCTCCCGCAGCGACCCCACGTCGCCGCCACCCGCGATGACGTGGCAGCTCTTGACGAAGTGCTTGTACGCCTGCGGGTTATCGAAGCGCCGCACCACCGACCACACGGTGGACACGGGCGCAGCGATCTCTTTAGTCACGGCGGAGCAGCACTGGTTAGGACCCACCGCATGCGTGTGGTGCCCCGCCACCACTTCTGGTACTGTGGCCCGCTTCTTACTATTATTATTACTATTGTTGTTGAGTAGCAGTGCAGCAGCTCCTCCGCCTCTTTGGTTTTGGTACTGCGACGACGCCATATTGGATGTCGCCGACGTGGCGGTGTGGACACGGTGGAGCAAGACTGAGGATTTGGGCGGGTTGGGGGGCATTTGAGTATCTCACGCTTGAGTTGAGCAGATGCAAACTGGGTAGCTTTATGGGTGGAGAGCTTCTTCTGCCAAGAGGGAGGCTCTTTGCTTTGCTTTGGCTTCTGGGGGGGAGATCTTAATTCTTAAGGACTCTAGCTTTCTCTCTCTGTGACGCACAAACAGAGAGATGAGTTAGTTGCATTTTTCAAAGCCGAGAATTAGTGAACGTAAAAATGGGGAAAGTTCATGTGCGGGATTATAAAATAGAAACAAGTTGGTCCTTGAAGCCAATAAGAAAAGGAATAAAAAAGGGAAAAATAAACGCAAGTTGATCTGTTGAAGTTATCATATTCGCCCTGTACTTATTTTTTTTTATAGATAAATAAACCACAAGTTGATTTGATTCCAAGTTGACCCCCCTGAAAAACAATGCGGGGGATTTAATTAAGTTATCATTTCATTTAAATATGTTTTCCAACTCATGAATTTGATTAATCTAGGGTTTATAGCTGAAATTTGTATGGTTGTTGGGCCTCACAACTTCAAGTCTTCAAGCTTGGCACACTCGCCGTATACTTACGGGAGAAGAAATAAGTATAAGAGCATTTTTACTTAATAATAATGGGGGAAAAAAAAGGATGAGAAAATTTAGAAATAGAAAAGGTTAGGAAAGAAATAAGAATAAAGACATATTTATTAGCATGTGGTTTAATATTTTAGTAGGATAATGAATAATGTATTGGGTTTCTACGTATGCATTAATTCGAAGTACTCGTGTTCCTCTATGGAAGATGAACATATTTCAATTATTTCAAATAACACATATTCATTATATAAATTTCATAATCGAAACGGTTTAGTATCTTAATCTTTATTTGAGATTATCTCTACAAAATATAATTGGAATTGGATATTGTTTAGCTATCTAAATTTATGGAACTAATCAACGGTGTGAGTACCAAATAAAATATTTATGAGGAATCGTCTATTTATTTGATACATTTAAATGACTAAACAATCTCCAATTAGTATAACTTCTGTGTAGGGAGGATCTTTAAATAAAGATTAAGAAGCTGAATGGTTCTATAATGAAGTTTATACGATGAAGATAGGTTAATTACAAAAGGTGGGATATGTGCATTCCTTCATGAGAAAACGCGAGTATTATTCTTTACGAGTCTTTCCCCTCACTTTAATAATAATAAAATAAAAGTTGAGGGCATATTTATTCAATAGAAATGAAAAATTAAGAAATGAGAAAACTTAAAAATAGAAAATAGGAAATGTTGATTTGGATTGCTAATTTATGGGTGTTTGATTATGAATTTTAAGGGGAAGCTAACATTTTCGGCAAAATTCCTACCTTTTTGATTTCGTGGTTCCTTATATTTATCAAAATATGTGTATAAGAACCATTTTTTTATACCTACTTTTTAATAAATATAGAGAACTCAAGAATCAAAATAATTATAATTCTCATTCATTGTAAGTAAACACCCCTTAAGATGACCTATTCTCTTTATCAATTTAGTTCGTTATTTTAAAATATAGCTTTGTGCATTGTGGATGTGTTTATAAAGTCGGAAACCAATAATTTCAATAACTAGGTAATATCTGCAATGCTTTGTCAGTCTTCTCAGTGCTCATACAACAAATCACCTTCAAATTGGCTCATTCACCACCAAATCAGCCGATAATTCAAGGATCTCATTGGCTGCTGATTTTAATTACTTCATTTGCTATGACAAGTAATTGATTGTCCACTTGCTGAAAAGGAGGAGAGGTCATCCATTGGAGAGGTTGAAGAGACACGATTCACCTCTACGGTAGGTTGGGCTTTATAAAAAAACTTTTCGGGTTTTGCGCGCACTGCCCGCTACTCTTTAGTTTTTTGTTGTTTACTTGCCCTCCTGCTAGAGAAGGTTGGGAATTCGCTGCCTCAGTTTCCTTTCTGAAATGACGACATCGATTACGCTTGTCAGGCAATATTTCATGAACTACATCAATGGGAAAACTATGACCCTCACGTTCAACCATGACGGAGAACATTATATATCAATGGAAGCTATGACCCTCACGTTAAACTATATCAATAGAAGCTTCACCATATATGACATTTTTGCATGGTGGTGTTTGTCTCAAGTGCTAAGGTTCATAGGGTACCGCCCGGACCACCGGTTGGTGCAACAGAGTTTGCTTCAATTTGATGGAATTGGATACAGAATTCGAATTCACGACTGACCTTTGGATAGGAACTCCACAACCCTAATCAAATTAAAAATTCTATAGTGAAAAATACTAATCTTGGTTAATTTACATGACATAAGCCATATGGCGTTTTTGGTCATTGCGGATATTATCTAATATGTGTTGTTATATCATCAAAATATGACAAAGTAGGAGCAGCTCTTTAGCAAGGTCACGTTTTACTAAAACAAAAACTGAAATTGATTGAAGTATCATAGGAATCATGTATTCACTATAAAGGACTTCTTATATATTTAACTCTTTCTCCGGAATACAAGGGTCCTTTATGGTAAATACATGATCCTTAACTCTATCGTTCCTTTTTTTCTACACTTAGACTAAAATAGAATCCCTACTAAGAAAGATCTCGAGGTAAAGTGTTAATGAACATAAACAACATGATTATATTGATAATTCCACATATAAATTTGTGTGTGCCAATGTGTTCACCTCGAGTTCGATATATATCTTTCAACTAAAGTTTAATTGTAACATCCCACATCGTCCAGGGGAGTGATCCTTAAACGCATATTCACATCCCTACCTAGCACGAGGCCTTTTGGGAGCTCACTGGCTTCGGGTTCCGTAGGAACTTCGAAGTTAAGCGAGAAGGAGGTCAGAGCACTCTCAGGATGGATGACCCACTGGGAAGTTGCTCGTGAGTTCCCAAAAACAAAACCATGAGGGAATGGTAAGCCCAAAACGGATAATATCGTGCTACAGTGGTGGAACTGGCGTGAGATGTGACATTAACCCACTTGGTTTCTTCTTTTTAAAATACCAATCAAATTGCTTTATTCAATCTTTGCTTCTTGATTTCGTCTTCTAGATTGATTCCATTCTTCTAAAAGCATTGCTTAGCTTAGCTTCCACTTGACATTTAAAAACAAACCTAATGAATTGTGGTCGCTAGCTATCTTATTCTACTTTCAGACCTTTTAAACTAACGCCAAATTGTGACTACTCTATTGGCTTTAACGTGCCAATCGGTATATTTCTTTTATTTCCTCTCTCACTCATGATTGATATTAAATTTATTGTTCGAAAGCTCACAAGCAATTGGCCATCACTCAAAGATTTAGGATATAGTGTTGTCAATCATTTTCAAGTTGTGAGAAATTTTCTAGTGTGCTGAAAATACGGTCCGGTACCCCAAGTGTAAGAATATAACTAGTTTGAAACTTGATAAAAAAAATTCAACCAATTACATTGCCACACTCGGTATACCAGCTGTATTTCGAGCATATTGAAAAACCTCTCTCAAAGTGGTTCTTTGTGCTTAATTATCTTAACCATTGCATTTCAAAGGATGAAGTTTTGTATGAATAATGAGTCGGATGCCCAACTTGTCCAAGATTGTGATGCCAAATGCTATTAATTTTTAGAGGACAGGAGATTAGCAAGTGTTGACAAAGGTATGGACTTTGGATTCACTCAACTGTTCGGAAGCAACTTTTCCCAAAGAAGAGGTACGAGCTAAAACATGGGCAATATACATGGACCAGAAGGAGAACATCCCTTCGTGCTATATATATGAAGTATGAATAAGTACGAAGTAAGGATGTGCTGTTTGTCGCTTCAATTTTGACACACAACCTTTACGACGAGGCTCATCAACATGTATAAATAGGCAAGACTACCCTGCAGATAGTAGCAGATCCAGAAAAAATTATTCAGAGAGTCGCATGTAAACATTCACATATATTTCTTAAACATATCATAACCTTAGAAGTTAAATTGTAGTTCCATCATTTATGATTTATAGAATAAATAACAATACAAGTTACAATTGTCCACGATGCGTTTTCATATTTTAAAAACACTGCATTATAGCTTCATTATCAATGAACGAAAAAACATTGCTCTCCATATAAACTACCATACTATCACTCAACCACTGATTTCCCATTCAGTTACCCAATAGACTTTTTACAATATTATAAGCGGAAAATGCTCTCTCCACTGAAGTAGTAGCAACTGGTAGAAACAAAACTAATGCAATTAGCAACATGATTATACACTCTATTCCTCCCCATCTCCACCATTTTTTTTTGTTGCAAGACTACCAATCATTTTCAATTGAGAAAATTCACCACTTAAACGTGTACCAAGAATATAATGTCCAAGTTGATATTTTAGAAAAATAACAAGAACGGCAACTCCTCTTTGAGGCATTTTATCATGTAGTTTGAGGATATGTATAAAGGACAACTCCAATCTTTAAAGGGGCAATACTCAAGTCATTTATGGAAATTCATGGGAGTTTGGAGAGTCAATTGACCCCACTTGCCCCTTAAGGGATCCACCAGTGCCTGCAAATTAATTATTTAGTTCACTTCTACATTCTACATACTAGAGAGCATTAGGCATACATTGTAGAGTCATTTGCAAGAGAGGGTTTCCTACATATTCTCTATAAATATAAGCTTCGAAGAAGAGGAAGGCATCCCTGATCAAATCCACAATTTGTCATTCTATTTTTTCTTCAATTCTTATCTTAGCATAATGTAGCTCTAATCTAGATCATTTTTATGCAATTTACTTCCCGCACTGGTATTTTAATTCATTGATTAATGCAATTTAGATTATGAATTTTCTTTAATTCCTTTAGTTTTACGCAATTTAATTCAAGCACTTCTTTACATTACACATTTCTTGTCCCTCATTGTGTTTTCAGTTTCTTTTACTTTCAAGCACCTTTATTTTTACGCATTCGTCTTCATTTAATTTATTTTCTTACTAATATACTAATTTTAATTTCGTTTATTTTCAGTTTCTTTTACTTTCTTACTCGATCTTCACCTTCACCATTACACATTATTTTGATTGTTCGGTCAATGCCACCTTCAAGGTAGAGAATGAACCTAGGCAGAGAAAATGTTCCTTGCTCGGCTGCTGCATAATCGTTTGATTAGAATCAAATCCATAATGCAAAACCAAATCACTTCACATGCTTTCTACGTCGACCAACCTAATTGACGTGGTGGCACACTCGTGCATTTAAACCAAAGAAGGACCCAAAATCTTTTTAGACCAAAGCTTCGGCCGAAAATATGGAAACACTAGGAAACTG